CTTCCCCTCTTTCCTTCTTTTTCCTTCCTTGCTCTCTTCCCCTCTTTCCTTCTTTTTCTTTCTCTTTCCACATTCCCTTTTTTCCTTTCCTGTCCCTTCTTGCCTACTCAAATGCAAAGGGGAAACATTTCTCCTTTTTGGTTTTGTTTTTAGTTTGTTTTGCTAGCCCTCTGCCAGCGAAAACGGAGCCCGTGGGGGCCACACACAGCTCCCCTATAGAGCCTATACACATTTCAGAGAAAAGAATAAAAATTATTTATCCTTAGGGAATGGCTTACGTTGGATAACTAAGGTGATGTTTCCGCATGGCTTCAAGCTCTCGGTTTTTAAACTTCTGAAACTTCTTCACAATGCCTGTCCCCTCTCCACTAGATGCATATGGAAAGTTGATCTCCATCAGATCTGTTAAAAAAAATAAGACCCTTCTTAATGCAATTAAGGGAACTAATACTTTCCGTGCGTCATTTTGATTGGTTTTGCGGGCAGGGGTGGGGACAAAACAAACCCTCAAGAATTCTTTCGCTAATATTCTCACTCAGTTCTTTGATGAAACACTGCCATTGTTAAGGGGACCGTGCAGTCGTTGAGTGAATCCAGTCTCCTTCACTGCCTTTGCTTTTGAGGAACTGGCTGGGAAGGTGGCAAAAGGGGACCAGGTGACCCTGGGATTCTGCAACCATCATAAATACATGCCAACTGACGAGCACCCAAATTCTGATCCTGTGACTATGGCTCTGACAGTTGTGAGAATTGGATATGTAATGGTTGTCCCCAATTTGGGTCTTGTTCTGACCTGGGCTTCCCAAGATCATGAAGCCGACTCCTTGTCCTGATAAAACCCCTTTTATTTAGGTCAAAGGGAATTCCTCTCCAGCAAAGTCTTGACAAACAGTCTTTCAAAAGATTTCACAACTACAGACCTTTATCAGGCTTGGAGAGTTACCAGGCAGATAGCTTCCTAACGCCACACTGTAGCAGTAGTTACTTGGCGAGAACTCTAATGAATTGAACTAATTGTCTCCTGCAAAACCCACTCCCCTTTTGCTCCTCTTTATTCCCTATGGGAGTGGCCATTCACCGTCCACCTGTGCCCTTACTCCCGAGTTGACCCTTGTTCCTTAACTGTTCCCTTCTTCTGGCAACTCTGTGCATGCGTACACTGGGAACAAGCTCCAGCTGTTCTTCTTCCCTACCGATCTCTGACTCCGAAGGCAGCTGATAACTGTCAGATGGCCCTGGCCCCATCTCTGCCTCTGAGTCGGCTAGCTGTCAAGATTCCAGCAGTCACGCCAATTAAATCATGAGTCTAGAGCCAAACTTCCAAAACTTCAAAAGGATTTATTTGGGAGTTAACATGTCGGCATTACCTGGGTGTAGCCGACTCTGAGACACATAATTCACTGTCAGCCTTGACCCTGGTTTTCCCCCATCCCTCTGGGTGCACCATAATTCATAGTCTCCCATGGGACGCATCCATAGCCCAGAGTCCTCAATCATGCTCTCCAGTTAGAGTTTTGCACGGCAGAAACTTCAGTCACCTAGTTACTATCTCTGAAAAACTATATATGGAATGCACTTTCAATTTCCAAGCTGCCGCACTGCTCTTTCAAACCCTTTTCCCCTCTCCCTTTCGGTTGGCAACTCTAAAAAGACCATAGAAATGTTTTCTGAGTTGAAAGCTACCCTGTACCCAATCGCTGCAAACTCGCAATGGGGTTGCCAGTGAGAAGGAATCCGTGCATCCCTACCATTTTCGCGAGGACACCGAGGTATCCTGTTGGCTTGGAGTTTCCATGCCTGTTCCGTGTTCCACGTCAAGCACCTGTTATGCTCCTTGTAGGGACGCTCGAAAGGTGGAACCGGATCCAAAAAACTGTAATCCCGTACAACGGCATGCCAGTAGCTTTCCGCTCGCGGAGCATGGTGCACCATGGCCTCCTTGTGAGTAATCCAGGCATAGAGAATCACATAGTCTACATTTAAGGATCGCTTGATCAGATAATCGTCTCTGAAGACCATGCTGTTTGGGAACGTCAAGCTGACGGTTCGATTCTTCCGGACGTGACCGCCTTCCCATCGTTTCTTGTACACCGACATGGTGTTCCTGAATTCCAAGGAGGCTTTCGCTTCCAAAGTTACGACGCATGGCTTTGAGCAGAAATAGGACACCGAAATGCCAACGCTATTGCGCAACGTTTTGTCCTGAACGTTCAGGTGAATATAATCCTCAGAAAATGTCTGGCGCTGAATCTCCGGAGTTATTGGCGTGGTCAGCCAGGTTTCCCTCCCAAACGTTATCCCGCTTTTCTAAAGGGAGAAAAAGAAGAATTGTTGGACTTCGCCTTAAGGCTCCAGACCTGCTTAAGGAGTTGTTTTTAATGATCTTTATAAAAGCCGGAGGTGGTATTCAGCCGGTTCAGACCAGTTTTGGAGAACCGATAGAGAAATTTTGAGTAGTTTGGAGAACCAGAAAATCCCACCTCTGACTGGCCCTGCCCCCATCTCCTCTCTGCCTCCCATTGTGTCTCAGCTGATTGGCTGGGTCTTCTTTGGTTGCCCTGCACAGGAGAACAGAGCTGGAAAGCAGGTTAGTGGGGTGGAGTGGAAATGGGGCTTTTGCAGTAACCTTCCCCCGGGAGTGGGGAGGGAATGGGTATTTTGCAGTATCCTTCCCCTGCCATGCCACTAAGCCATGCCCACCAAGCCACGCCCACAGAACCAGTAGTAAAAAAAATTGTATCCTACCACTGATAGAAGTCATTCTCTCTTGGACCTTTTTGCCAAGTTATGCATTTATTCGTTGAATTTATATGCTTATAAAGGGTGCTTCCAGGCTAAGCTTTTCAATAGTTGTTGGCACTTGGTTGGTGTGACAGTTGGATCTGGTGGTTAAGGCACCAGTCTCGAAATGGAAAGACAGTGAGTTCTAGTTCCGCCTTAGCCATGAAATCCAGCTGGGTGACTTTGGGCCAATCACCAGGAGACGGTGAGTTCTAGT